TCTCCCAGCGCGTGCCGCTGCTCTGAGACGACCTGAGGTGCGAGGTCTGATCAGCCGGTGGCCTGGTTTGGAGACACGATTCTCCTAACGGGGAGGAAGAGCCGGGTAAAAGCAGCCCCGGGCAGAGAGACGTGAAGGGTGTCTCCTGGGGAGGCTGTGGGCCAGGGCTGAGCAGACAGAGGCAGCCTGGGGCAGAGGCCTGGGGAAGGTGACTTCACGGGCCTCTGAAAATGAGTTGGGGTGGAGGTTCAGCCCCCGTCATCCACGAAGGGCGCTGCCTGCTGCAGGTGTGTTGATGAACAGATTTTGACCTACCTCGACATGGTCTGGAATGGTTTTGTACCTCCAGGAACCGTTCTGTTTGCTTTGTTTATTAAAAAACAAATCCTAACACCAAACCAACCCTCCTCCACCCCTATCCCTGCCTGCCCCATGGTGTACAGGAGCCTGGTGATTACAGGAGGTGCTGCCCAGGCCTCGGGCAGAAAGAAGCAGAGGGTCCCTCCTGGGCGATGAAGCTCTCCAGACAAATGGCACACGGTTACAGGAGCCCTGTGTGGTGCCGGGGATTGCAATAGGACTGTTTAGATTGGTCTGAATGGAGGGTGGACGGGACATTTAGCACTGGCAGGAGAAGGGCTGGGAGGACGGCAGGTGACCAGATTAGCAAGTCATCAGGAAGCCAGCAGAGAGGACAAAGGAGGGCGAGTACCGCCTGACAACTCTCGGGGGTGGGACGATACAGGCAGACCCGCCAGCTCATGTTACTGGCAGGAGAGGGGAGCAAAGTCCTGCAGGGCATGGTGTCAGTGGGCTGGGTCCGGGTTGGAGGTGTTGGACGGGGCCAGCTTTTCCAGAGCGTTCTGTTCTCTCCGTGCCAAGGGCCGATGCTTTACAAGGGTGCCTGGGAAAACCGGGTGCATTAGTTTCCCCTAGTGTCGGGGTACCAAGAGTCCAACAAGCCCCTGCTGTGCTGCGTTTTAAGGCCTCTTCTCCTCTCCCAAGACTCAGGACTCGCATACTCTAGAAAGCATAAAGGGTTTGGCCTCGACTGATGTCAGTAGAGCTTGGAAGGGAAGAAGATACATGAGCAGAGACGGGAGGAAACAAAAAGCTCGCAAGAAAGGCAAAACAGGGTATGTAAAGCCCTGAGTGCCCATGGACAAATGGCTTGAAAAATTGACTCCATTTTTTTCCCCCAAGCGTCTCTTTTCAGGTACAGTTCAGGGTCACTTGAGTCCAAAGCTTCATACCCTCCCCTCATGAATACCCTTAGCAAACCGCAGCGCGGGGCCTGGGAGTAACGCAACCCACATGAATGAAGAAATCTGAAAAAAAAAATAAATGTATGCTGCACCACAATTACAGGTAGAGAAGGTATTTGGTTTGGCCTCGACTGATGTCAGTAGAGCTTGGAAGGGAAGAAGATACATGAGCAGAGACGGGAGGAAACATGTTCAGGAGAGGCTGCTCTCAAGAAAGGCAAACAGGGTATGTTAAAGCCCTGAGTGCCCATGGACAAATGGCTTGAAAAATTGACTCCATTTTTTTCCCCCAAGCGTCTCTTTTCAGGTCCGCTACAGTTCAGGGTCACTTGAGTCCAAAGCTTCATACCCTCAAACCATGAATACCCTTAGCAAACCGCAGCGCGGGGCCTGGGAGTAACGCAACCCACATGAATGAAGAAATCTGAAAAAAAAAATAAATGTATGCTGCACCACAATTACAGGTAGAGAAGGTATTTGAGGCGGTTAGTAAACATGCCAAATAATAAATAGAGCTATTCAGTGAGCAAACAGCTGCATGATTATAAATAGGAAAATCTACCCCAGCCCAAAGCCAGCTGAGACCCAACAACATGCACTCATTAAGGAGTGATTTTTTGTGTGTGTGCATTTTTTGGAGGGAGGCTGAAAATATTTTGCCCACTCTTTATTTTAGGAAGGTGAAATGTCCCTGGTGGATTTCAAAAGCTAACCTCTCGGGTATGTGATCTCCATGCCAAGACACTGAGTCACAAAGAGATTGGAGGAAGCTGTTTCAAATCCAGACAGGGGATAAAACAGCTGTAATTGAGTAGCCAGCTCAGCTCAGTCTGCTAATAACCGCACGGCCCCGTCCCTGCCCTCAGCCGTACAAGCCGAGAGCTTTGCTCGCTGCCGCTTTCACATGCTCTTTTGGTTATTGCCTGGGGTCAAACTTGTCCACACCTATTCCGTTCTGAATGACTGCTTGTGTCCGGGCCAAACCCGGGTTCGGGGAGCGTGCTCGTAGGCTGGAGAGCGCTGTCCTTCCCCTGTTGTGCCCGATGGGAGCTGACAGCCTCTAGGCACGTCTGCTGGACCCTTGGGCTTGCAGGGACGCTTTGCTGCTCCGCAAGCTTCAGTTTAACCTATTTGTCCACCCGTAAGTTTTTGGCATATAGTGTGTTGTAGCAGTGGGGGACACATCTCCCATCGTGGTCCGACCTTTTTGTTTGGTGCATGTGGGGTTGCCTATGCCTGTTTGGGGCTGAAGAACGGACTTTGTGATCCGTAGGGATGCCAGGGGAGTATGTAGCACCTGTGGGGTCTAGATGCCGGAGGATCCCAAGCTATTTGCCCAGGGAAGTTTCCGCCTCTGGCTACTGGTCCTTACACCATGGTGGTGGAGCACAGAGAACAGAAAAGGTGTTCTGCCTGTTTCTCAGCTGGTGCAGCTCCTCGCCTGACCCATTTCATGGCTGCTGACACCAGCCAGAGCGTGAGCTGCAGGCACATCGCTCCTTCTGCCTTGGCTCCAGAGCAGGATCCCCCCAGCCAAGGGGTGGGATGGGTGGCCAGGGACAGGACCCTTGCTACCCTCAGCAGGTAACTCTGATGTGTCTTACGAGTCAGACCGTTGGCTGAAAGTGCAAGCCACGTTTAGGAGGATAATCTTCACGGCCCGGTTCAGAAGCCGAGCTGAATTTCCTTGCTCTGAGTGCCCTGCCAAGAGGGCTTCGAGCTCTCTCCCTCCTGGAAAGCACCCCAGGGGTGCCAC